ATTATGTTATAATGATTATTTTTATTAATATTATTATCATCATCATTATCATTTTTCTTATCATTATCATGAACATCAACTTGAGTTCATGACACGTAGACAGCTCTGTTCATATCCATTCTCACCCCTCTCTCCTCGTCTCACCCCTCTCTCCTCGTCTCTCCTCCCCAGAACCAGGATGCGTGCGAGCTCCGACGTCACACGTACAGTAACTCCGTGGACCGAGTGACGTTGAAGAAGCTCCTTTCTGCTGTCTTCGCGCCATGCAAGTGTGTCCAGCTGGCGACAGGCGAGTGGAGCACTGCACAGGTAAAGTGATGACGTCATAAACTTGTTGTGTTCTTACTATGGGGCATCGGTTCGTTACTTCAATTTTGTATAGAAAATATGAGAGGGATGAACGGAAATAGTTTTCAGGTTTGGGTCTCGGTCTCTGTTTCTTTTTGTCTGTCTGTCTGTCTGTCTTTGACTCTCTTTATCTCTGTCTCTCTCTCTGTCTCTCTGTCTCTCTCTCTCTCTCTCTCTCTCTCTCTCCCTCTCTCTCGCTCTCGTTTTCTCTGTCTCTCACTTTCACACACACACACACACACACACACCCTCTCCCTCCCTCCCCCCCTTTTTCCTCCTCTCTCTCCCTCTCTCCTTCCCTTTCTCCCTCTCTCCTTCCCTTTCTCCCTCTCGCCTTCCCTTTCTCCCCCTCTCCCTCCCCGCTCTTTATATACACCCATGGAAGTTACGTTTTATAGTTTCCTTGTGTTTGAGAACCAAATGAAATCTATTAAGTTTATAGTTTTTATTCTGAATCAAGTGCACAAGAGATTGTTTATGGGGCGATATTATTATAACATGAAATTCGATTGTCCCTCTGCTGATACACTGAAGACTCGCATCCAGGATATATTGTGAGCCTGTGTGTTGGCTATTCCATTGTGAAATACGATTGCTACCATGGGGCAAAACACCATCGTATAGGACAACATTGTCCTGGGATGAGTGCAGATATGTACTTTTGACCTAGGTGGGGGTTAAGCTCTGTCGCGTTATTCCATTGTAAAATACGGTTGCTATCATACCTGCCAAAGTTTTTTGTATCGTGTGTGTGTGGTGGGGGGGGG